TAGTTGCACAAACAACAAAGGTGATTGGTGCATTCAAACTATTCAACAGGAAGTTTACAATTATACTAGGAAGTGTATGAATATTTTGAGGAACTTGATCAAATGAATTGGTCAGCCCGAGGTAATGTATTGAATCAATATTTGAGCAACACTTCAATTGGAACGACAGTAAAACTTTGTTGATTTTGAGTTTTCGTTAGTGCATTTGATAGATTCTTGGTAGTGTAAATACAACTCTGTTAACAATAATCAATATATCTATACAGTGTCGGACACTAGGACACCCCCCAATAAATTCTTAAAGCCTTTAAGGAGTGAAATCCGCAGCTACAAAGGGTTGGTACCTAAATTCACACAGCCGATATTTTGTGAAGGGTCCGCCACAATGCACAATCAAGCAAATGAGAATATGAATATAATGAGAATATGCACGGCCGCCACGGGACTACTGTACAATCACAAATATAAAACTTACCTTTTTCTGTGCATTATCAATTGCTTTGGTTTCCTTGTCAAGGATTTTATATTTATTCATTGCATTCAAGAAACTATCTTCCAATTCACCTTCAAGCTAGAGAAATTTTCAATTACATAACTATTGTCACTTAATGAGTTAACAGGATTTTTACAGGAAGCATGGTCGAATAGACAATTCCCATTATAGCCCGCGTGCAGGCCCAAGGGAATAGTGGGCCTGCAAGCAAGGCCCGGTATTTTGTACTTTCCGCGTTCGCCCACGAACGCGGCATTCTGATTGGCTGATTGCTGTTGGATTCTATAATTAGGTCAGTGATTCATCACAAAGGCTCTCGATAAGCTTAAAATTCGAAAATTGATCACTTTTTTCGATTATAAATGGAACAAGAACAGACTGTTCATCGTTTACTTGAAGGATGAGATGTTTTTGCCGTTATGCCAATGGTGATTTCTTGTCGTGAAGTGTTGGAATAGCAACCGTACGACTGGGGTAAACTATAGTAACCTTTACTTGAGTTGAGTTTCATCACAGTTAACTGCTTTCATTAATTTCAAACAGACTTGATACGTTATATATTCCTCAAGAAAATTATCTTTTGGTTGATGTTGACTCTGTCCTTGCACTGA